ACACAAACCAAAAATTATAAGAAACAATTCAAATAGTGCAAGGTTTGAAAGCTGAAATAGAGACAAAATTAAAAAGAGCACAGTATGAGGGAATGCTAAAAATAGAAAAGCTGAGTAAATGATCAGGAATCACAGATGAAAAGCATAAACAACAGAATATAAGAGATGGAAGAGAGATTCTCAGGCGTTGAAGATACACTAGGAGAAATAGATTCATCGACCAAAGAAAATCTTAAGACCAACAAATCCCTAACACAAAATATCCAAAAAAATATGAGACATGGTGAAAAGACCAAACCAAGAACAGTAGGTATAGGAGAAGGTGAAGAAACCCAACTCAAAGGTGCAGAAAATATATTCAACAAAATCATAGAAGAAAACTTTCCCAACCTAAAGGCATGCCAATGAAAGTACAAGAAGCTTACAGAACACAAAATAAAGTGGACCACAAAAAAAGTCCCCTCGCCACATAATAATTAAAACACCAAACATACAGAGCAAAGAAAGAATATTAAGAGCAGCAAAGGGAAAAGGCCAAGTAATATATAAAGGCAAACCTATCAGAATTACACCCGTCTGCTCCATGGAAACTCTGAAGGCCAAAAGGTCCTGGATAGATATTCTACCAACACGAAGACACCATGGATGCCAGCCAAGACTACTATACTCAACAAAGCTTTCAGTCACTGTAGATGAAGAAACCAAGATATTCCATGACAAAACATGATTTAAACAATACTTATCAATTAACCCAGCCCTACAGAAAGTTCTGGAAGGAAAATTCCAACCCAAGGAAGTCAACTACACCCACAAAAACATAGATAATTTCACTTTACCAACAGCCAAAAGAAAAATGGGGGAAATCCATACATAATATCAACAACAAATCCAAAACAAACGAGAGTTAACAATCAATGATCATTAATATCCCTCAATATTAATGGTCTTAACTCACCTATAAAAAGACACAGGATAACAGAATGCATATGAAGACAGAATCCATCCTTCTACTGACTGTATATAAGAAACACACTTCAACTTCAAAGACAGATGTTAACTCAGAGTTAAGGGTTGGGAAAAGATTTCCCAATCAAATGGACCCAAGAAACAAGCGGGTATAGCAATCCTAATATGTAACAAATTCCACTTTAACTAAAATCAATCAAAAGAGATGAAGAAGGTAATTTCTTATTCATCACAGGAAAAAATCCATCAAGATAAAGTCTCAATTCTAAACATCTATACCCCAGATACAAAGGCACCCACATTCATAGAAGAAACATTTCTAAAACTCAAATCACACATAAAACCTCACACTTATAGTAGGAGATTTCAACACCCCACTGTCAACACTAGTTAGATCAACCAGACAGAAACTTCACAAAGAAACAAAGGAACTAACAGAAGTTATGACCCAATTGGGTTTAAAGCTACTTATAGAACATTCCATCCAAACAGAAAGAATATACCTTCTTCTCAGCAACACATGGAACCTTCTCTAAAATAAACCACACACTCAGCAATATAGCAAACCTCTATAGGTACAAAAAAATTGGAATAACCCTGCTACAAGTAAAGGCCTGTTACTATGTTTCTTATCGGCTAGCTCTGTCTTAAGTATTAACCCATTTCTATTAATCTAAGTACTCCCACGTGGTCTCATCTTACCGGAGAGTGAGGCTGGCATCTGCTCTCTCCAGTCTCTACATGCTGACTCCTCCCTACTACTTCCTCAAATCCTCCTTGTCTCCTAGTCCCTCCTATCTCCCTTTCCTTATTGGCCAACAGTGCTTTATTCATTAGCCAATAAGAGAAACATATTTACAGAATAACATCTCCCATCATCTCCTATTTTCTGTCTAAAATAAAAAGGGTTTTAACCTTAGCATAGCAAAATAGGTCACATAACAGTTACCAAGTAAGAATTACAGTTAACAATATTTATTCCATTAACATTTAGCAAGATTTAAAGAAAATATTCCATCATCTATCCTGTCTTTGTTAGTCTAAAATCCTAATGTAACTTATCTTTAATCCTAACTAAGGAAAATTATAATTGTAACTATCTGTCTTCAATTCCTTCCAAGACCACAGAAGGATAGTATATAAACTCTAGAAATGACAGAGACAACTCATTGCCTGGTCAGTCACCCGAAGTTCTTCTGTAATGTTTCATCTTCAGCTTATGAGCCACAGTGTGTCTGGCAGACTCCTCAGCAAAGCAGGAAACTTTAAACTGTCCATCTGTATTGGCAGTTTGTTAGTCATTTGTGGTGTGTGTGTGTGTGTGTGTGTGTGTGTGTGTGTGTGTGTGAGTGTGTGTGTGTGTCCTGCAGAATGCCTGGCAGACTCTTTCATGAAGCAGGAACTCTGTAGCAATGTCCATCTTGAATCAGCAGTCACTTTTCTGTGGGTCATGCATGTCCAGTTTATACAGCACAAAGTCAAACAGTCCAGACAAGAGTAGTATCTTGTCCAAATGGCTAGTCTTGCCATATTGGAAGTAAACTTCATAATGTGTTTCTTTGATGTCCATCTTTCATCTTTCTTTCTGGTGCGGGTGGTGTTGCCAGGAGCATTTATGTCTCACTGTCAAGAAAAACCCTAAACCATTTTAAATACCATATTCTGTAGGTCTTTGAAAGGTTTGAAGAATGCCTATTTATCTCAAATACATCTCTATATATCTAGAAATCCTAAGTAACTTAATTATAAGTTTTGATAATTATAGGTAACAATTTATAATCTGTACTAAGTTATACATTTTTAAATGAGCTATAAAAACACAATACCTAAAAAAGAGGAGGAAATATACATATGGAAAAATTGAACTTAAACTTGTATTTCCATTTACCTGGGGATGGACATCTAAAGAAATCCCATTTCCTTGCTGTTGTGAAAAGAGCATTAATAAATATGGATGTGCAAGTGTCTCTATAGCAGATATAAAATCGTCTTAATAAGTACTTGTTTGTACAACTTGATTTTCTAAAATTGTTTTCTTAGCTTAATTTACTCCAACATTATTTATTAGCTATGTGGTCTTCCATAAGTTGTTTGAGCTATGTGAGGCAAAATAATTTCATCTGTAAAATGAGAACAATAAATTTGCAGGCTGATTAAGTAAATTAAATGTGATAATACATGTGAAATAGTTAAGGTAACACCTTTTACATACCATTGGCCAATAGATACTAAATGATTCTGTTGTTCAAGCAATAAGATAGAATAAATTATCCTCGTTTGCTACTCAATCTGTATAACCTTGAGGTCACCCGGGCTTTCAGGGCTCCAGGTTCCTTGTTGGTATAGTGAGGACAATGATGTCTATTTCATAGAGTGGTTGTAAAGGTAACACTAGATATGTATGAAGAACAACTCCTAAATTGGAAAGTGCTTTATGCATTACTCACAAATCCCCATATATAACTTATACTGTTTATTTGCTTAATAAATCTTCCTCCAAGAGAGCAATGATGTGAGCCCCATTGCTATTTAGGTCAAATAAATATGGAATCTGAATGAGTAGTGCTAACATACAAAGATCTGAATAAACAAAAGTTAACAGCAAAAGGTTCAGATGGATGAAGGTAAGTAATTTTTAGAGAACTGAGGACGGACTCTTTTTTTTAATTGCAGGCTGTAATAAAGTTCTTCTTTTTATCTATTAAAAATAACATCATAGGATGGGCATGGTGGCACATATCTTTAATCCCAGCACTTAGGAGGCATAAATAGGTAGATCTCTGTGAGTTTGAGAGTAGTCTGGTCTACATAGTGAGTCCCAAGACAGCCATAGCTATATAGTAAGACTTGTCTCAAAACAAACAGAAAACAAAAACAAAGAAATAGATAAACAAAAATCCCAAAACAAACAAAAGAAATACATACTCTCTCTAAACCCCATCATGATTGTGGCAAAAATATTCAAGTAAATAAGGAAGATTGGCCAGGACCTTAAATTTGCCAGGTTTGTGTTGATTGAACAATGGATTTTCCCTCTCATTTGTAGAAAACTGGCCTCTTGTTCTAGAAGGACTTGGCTTATGATATGTCTATAAAATACCATTTAACATGATGATAAACTTCATTGTGTCCTTTCAGACAGCACCTAGACACCTAAGAATACAAACTCTCCTAAATTTTCTGTATCATTTTGGGGTTCAGAGCTTCTTATATGAAATGAATGAAATCTTCAACAGCATGAAAGGCTGGCAATAATGATCATTTCAAACATCAGACAATTCATGTCTAAGATTATATATAAGCAAGAGGTTGTAATTTCATCATTTATTCATTTAAAAGCTTGTATGGAAGGACTCTTTACACTGAAATGACTAAAGAATGCAATTTCCTAGACAACTACTGGCTGACTATGTATGCTTATGCCTGTGAAAATACAACTGTTAAAACTAATTTTCAAATTAGAATCCTGGAAACTCAAATAAAGAGAATATTACTTACATTTTTTTTATAAATGAACACCCATCATTTCAGCTCTGTAAATGTCTATTGTTTCAAAACAAGGGCAACTTTTTTTTCAGCCTATTTCTATTGTTGAAGAACACAGCAAGACTATTACAAGGTTACATATTTGATTATTATGTTTCCGTGTTACTGAAATACAGCTAAAATTTTAGGGTTTGATCACCTATCATACTTCTGATTAACCAGACCTTAAAACAGAGGATAATTACACACACACACACACACACACACACACACACACACACACACACACCTTTTGTAGATTTCTCTTTTTCTATATTATGTAGATGAGTGTTTTGCCTACATGTGAATGTGTAACACATGTGTGTCGGTTCTGGCAGAAGCCAGATGAGGGCACTAGATCCCCTGGAACTAGAGTTACAGATGGTTGTGAGCTGCCATGAGGGTGCTGGGAAGTGTCTTAACTGCTGAGCCATCTCCCCAGCTCATCTTTTTGATATTTTAAAGTCTTTAAAACTTAATATAATTCTGAAAACATGTGTACCATGCCATTCATTCATTAAACATGATTTATTTTAATGCAGGTCAAAAATTCAATTAATTAACCAGGTCTCTTTTCATTTACTGTCACAAAGGTTGATTTGGTTTTAAATTTGATTACATACCAAAAGCAGTAGTGAATAATTTATTTAAGATTAACTTCACAAATTACTGAGTAGCTCTGAAACTACTCCAATGCTTATAAATGTAAGTCAGTGCACAATCTATACATACTACCAGTTCCCTGCGTCAGAGTTATCAGTTCCCAACTGCAAATGCCTTAATGTGGGAAATCCTGAAGGTGACTAGACTGGAGGCATCTCAGCCTTTAAGGCACACCAGAATCACCGGAAGACACACCAAGCCAAACAAAGAACAGATTCACTGAGGGACGTGTCCAGGAACAGTATTTTAAACAAACAACACCATCTGTCTAAAGTCACCATGAAAAACAATCTACAGCCTTTGTCAGATGTCAGATATTTTATTATAACAGTACATTCTGTAATTTAATGACATTGTCCTGCAAGTCCTAGTGACTTCTGCTCTGGGAGTGACAGCAAGTGACTAAGGGTACACATAACAGTCTTTCAAGTAGACACACTTGTATTCTTAAAGAGAAGGTCAAGAGCAGTGACTTGTGGGATGGCAATTCGTTCATTAAAGGAAAAGGCTCTTTCAAAGGAGTTAAACCTTTAAACGAGTTCTTAACATCGTTCATCTCTAATGGCCTCTTTATCATTCTCCCAGTATATAACCAGCAGCAGTGATTTCCGTTTACTAAAAGTGTAACATGGAACATTAAAGACTTACATTCTACTCAGACACCTTTGTAGTTCTGGACTGCTCACACACAATAGGGTTAGAACCCAGCTGCAGACAAAATACTAACATGGAAATATGTACTAATAGCCTTGATTTCTAACAATGAAACTTCATTTGCCCTACAGAGTAAGTGCCCACATATAACATCAGGAATGGAACTAAAGGTATTGTGCTGCGTCTTCTGCATACTATTTACTGACATTCCACCGACCCTGTAATTACACATGAGCAACATCAGGTTGTGTTCTACTTCTAAAAGCACTGAGCCAGACATGATGGCCCACAGCTTTAATCCCAGCACTCAGGAATAAGAGGCAGATGGATCTCTGTGAGTCTGAGACCAGCCTGGTCTAAATGGTGAGTGCCAGGACAGCTAGGGCTTTGGAGAGACCTCATCTGAGAAAAAAGAAAAAGCACAGACATGCTCTCCTCATGTGATGACTCAGCATAAGTGTGTGCAGAGCATCTGGTGGGTCCACCATCACTGCACAGGAATGGATGGAATCCTGCTTAGAACCCAAAATCTACAAAAGCACCAACCCTGAAAAACTGAATGGCTGGAAGAATCCATCTGGCAACCCCTCTCCTCACCCACATCTAAGGAGCTGGTGTTTCCAGGGTACACACACTTCCTGTGTCTTCACAAAGGCGGCTTCCCTCCCAGATTTATGATCAGACAATTGGAATTTCTCTTTAGGCAAAGAAAAGCAATTGTCAAAAATCAGTGTTGCAGTGCAAGAAAGGCCTGTCACCATGAGAAGAGAAACAGAAACTTTAAAACTGATTCTCAAGAAGTTCAAACACTGCACTCACTTTGAACTAGTGCCCTGACTCTTGCCATAACGGAAGTATTTTCCAGTTTACAAATGATTTAAGATAAAAATAATAAATTTTACAATTAAGCAAAAGTTGAAAATATGAAAAACAAGGCTTCTTGAGTGAAATGAAATGAAGTCACGGAGACATGGCAACCCTGGGAAGGATTTCAAACATGCCCATGGCATAAGGCACCATCCGAACCCTCTCGTACCCCACTGGGGACCCAGGGAATATGGCAGGGCAGAAAACCCCACAACTCGTTTCTCAAGTCCTTTTGGCTGGCTTGGCTGTCAGCTGCTTTTCTCTTTCAAATTCCTTTTCCCTCTGCTGTTCCCTTTCCAGCTCTTCTCTCTGTCTCTTCTGCTGGAGCTTAAGTGCTCTTTTCTGTAGAGAAATGGGGGGGGGGTAGTGTCAAGGGTTATAGTTATGGCAAAACTTGAGTTAATTAATACATATTAATAAACCCCATGCTTAACTTTTAAATTTGTTTGCAGCTATTTAAGGTCCTCTTAATTTAAAACAACAAAAACTTTACTCTAAGCTCACTAAATATAAACTGCAGCTTCATATGCAGAGATGAGGATACCAGCCCAGGTCCTACTGGGGGAGCCAAGAGCCTTCATTTTTAAAAGGAAATAATATAGCATGAGTTAGTATCTTACTACACATAGAAGCATAAAAAGTCAAACATGAACGCTGAAGAAAAACAAAACTCAGCTTTTAAAAAGAACACCAAGGGTTTCCACTCACTTTTAACTTGGATGTCTTCTCATGGAGCATCAGCATCTCTTTCCTTATGTTCACCAGCTTGGCATGGTAGTGCTTCGCCTCCGTGAACTGGACAGTCAGACAAAACAGAAAGAAATGCCAAGACTGATGACCATGTCAACCTCTAAACTACAGCTCATCCTCTGTGAACTGGTAAATTTTAGACCCTCACTTTTGCCCATATTTTAAGTTCTATGATCCAGATTTCATCCAACCATTAGCAGGATTTTGAAACATTCAATTCAATTCAGTTGACAAAAAAAGTTACTAAAGGTAAGTATTATTGCACACTCCTTGATCCTGGCACTCAGGAAGCAGAGATCATTAGATCTATGTGAATCTGAGTCCTGCTTGATCCGTATAGTAACTTCCAGGCCACCCACGGCTACACACACACACACACACACACACACACACACACACACACACACACACACACACACACGCACACACCTCTCACACAAAGGTTATTAAACATAAAACAGACATTTATATTTAATAAATTATAAACAACATTTTGCTTCAATCCAAAAGTTAATACAGTCACTACGGTCTTTTTGAGAGAACAGAACAATCTAGCACACAGGACAGTTAATGATATGCCTTCCTGTAGGAAAATGCCAGCCATGGCACAGACTCTGAGAGAATGGCCAACAAACGCAGTCATGTTTCTTGGGCTTTTGAAATCAGAATGACAACACAGCCACTAATGGACACACATTGCTCTCCCAGAGTTAAGTGCAGATTCTGCATTGCAGCCTGCAGTCCAGTCAGCCCTATTGGGAGAAGCTGAAGGGTGATGGTGGTCCAGACAGGTGGGAGAGAATGGAAAGGGAACCTTATTCTCAGAGACAGAGACAGAAGGGATGAGAAACGGGCCTGCAGAAAGAGGGGCTGCCTCTCACGTAGCTACAAGTAAAATCAGCTCAGAGTCTCTATGTCTGTGAGCTTTTAAGGCATTCCAGTTCACAATGCCTACATGAGAATTAAAACCACTCTTGGACAAAGGGAAGAAGTAAGTGAAAAACTCAGTTCTGTCCTTCTAGGCTGATGCAACAGAATTCTGTTCAATTCTTATTATTCAACTTTCACTCATTCAACAAATACCCATCCAATCACAATGTAACACTGAGGAAAAGACAAGTGAGTGAATATGGCCATGCTCGCCTCCTCCACAAGAAGTCAGCCAGCTGCACTCTCTGTTCCAGGCCTGTCAGGGCAACACTGGTGGCTATGTAATGGAAATGGTCGGACCCACATTTGTCATACAAAGTCTACTTGTGAGCGTGTAGGAACGCTTGCAATGTCATGTTGGCATTTTCCAGAAAGGAAAAGGAACAACACACCCTTGCCTATGCTAAGTCATCTTTCTTAACGAGGGTATGTCCCTCAACAGCATCTAATGAATCCAACTATCCAACTACTTATCCTCAACATGTCCATCTCACCATGGCATTAGAAATACTAATAATTAAATATGAATTAAGACAGCAGATAACTGACCCTGCGAAAGAGACTGCAATTTCCTTAGCAGTAAACACAGTGTTCCAAATGTCCCTTACTTTCCATTGTCTTTTTATGTCATCATTTCCTGAGATCTCCACAGCACAAATAGGCTGAATTTCCTAATACATGTTCAGCATGTGAAAGATAGCAACCACAGGATTTCTAACAAAGCAACCAAGATTTCCCTGTGAAAAAGACAAATTCTACACATAAAAGTTAAGAGGATAAGATTGTCAAAATGCAGAGATAAAGCCTTTCTAAAACAAGGTCTCATTAAGTTACATAAGCAAAAGTGTACTTACCAAAGCATTGATGTCTAGCATGGAGTGGCATTCTTTAAATTTTGAAATCTCTTGTTCCAGTGTATCTAATAACACGACTTGGTTCTGTCTGAAACAAAAGCACACAGCCAGAGCAAACTTTACATTCCCTAAGTATGGGTTCATTACAGGGAATCACATTCATTCCCACTAATGAGCAAAGCTGGAAACCCAGCTGGCTATACAGTGCCTTACTTTCCCAATATCATATTTCAAAGACATATTCTGACAACTAAGTGTATGCTTTGCTCTTGTCACAATTTAAAATATTAATAACAAAAATAGGCTCATTGTCTTAACAATGCTCTGCATTATCCCCCATGCCTTCTCTTATTTCACTTTGCTCACTAAATTCAATTTTCTCTGCATCCTAAAAATTGGAGCTTCCCTCCAAAAGTAAATTAGAAACAAAGAGTTTTCTGACTTTGCTTTGGAAGAGATAAAGTGAAGGATAGTACTTCCTTGAGGGAACATGAGCTGCTCAGTGGAATCAGCACAGGACTAGGAAACATACGTGGCCTTTCCCTCACAGCCATGTGGCCTAGGAAAGTCATGTTAATGCTCTTGATCTAAGTCTCATTTATACAGGGACAAAGTCAGACCAGACAACTCCAAGGGTTCATTAACATTTGGATTCAAAGCCTATGAGGGAGAGAGGGAAAGAGAGAGGAAGGGAGGGAGGGAGGGAGGGAGAGAGGGAGGGAGGGAAGGAAGCTAACTTCCTTCCTACTCCTCTCCTGATCAAATATGATCACAGGGTTAGTGACACAGGAGGGTCACCTAAATGATCATTGTAAAGGAAAAATATAACGTGATTTATGCAAAATAAAGAGCAGTGATGAAAGGTGAATTAGCAATGAGACTGAAGGTCAATCACATGTTCCCCATCAGGCCTGGGTCTGGGTACCAATAGGTCCCTAATCTGTCCCTTCATGTCAGACGAGGGATCACAGGAGAGGAAGTACAGAGTGGAGAACAGGACAACAAAAGACAGGAGGTCACAACTAAAAAAACAACAATAACAGAGGGTGAGGGGCAGTGGTGGGATTAAGTCATGAAAACAAAAGCTTTAGGATCAATAAACAGCATCAGCCATATGGAACAAGAAAAAAAAAAACACACAAATTGCAAGTATCTGTCATGGAAGAGATGATCATCACTGCTGTTATGGTATTAAAAGAACACTAAACTCCAACAAGTCTGAACACAAATACGATCACTTTAGGTGGAGCAGAGCAATTCATTCAAAGACACAAGTTATCCAAACTCACACAAGCACCACTCATTCTCAATTTTCCTATAAAGGAACTAGACTCTTTAGCAGTATCCGTTTCACTCTTGACAGTCAAACTATGGGTTACTGCAGGATACAAAGCACAAAAAGCTCAATGATCAACACTGCCAAAGGCAACACTGTCACACTGTATGGCTCCGCCAAGTGGCATGTGGCTACACAGAAGGCAGTGGCGCACAGCTGGCTTCCTGTTGACTCACGTGAGTTCCTGCAGGGCTTGCTTCGACCTCTGCAGATCTGGTAGGTAGTGGGACAGCAGGCCTCCCACCAGCTGCCCCACAGCTTTATCCTCTGCAGCGAAGTCCTCTATCAGCCCTTCGTCTGGAGAAGCATCACTCAAACCTGCGCTCAAGAGAAAAGCAAATTTAGGAAGCTCTAATGCTGCTGCACTGAGAGGAGGCTGGGGGAGCTCAGCCAGAGAGGAGGAGAGAAGCCCACAAAGGAGCTAAGCTGCACACCTCTCTAGCTACAGCAGTCATTCTTTTCAAAAGTGCCTTCTGAGCTGTCACTAATGAAACAAGGCTTCCCTGTGTAGCCCATGCTGGCCTAGAACTCTCAGTAACTTCAGGCTACAAGTATAGAACAAAGGCTAGGATAAACAGACATTAGTATATTCAAATTTTACATCTTTACATAAAATTTATGATACGTTTACCAAGGAGTCAGACTGGAAGGATGAGGTAACAGTTACTGAATTAATGAATTCTTGAAGTAATACATTAATGCTTTGAAAAGTATGCAGAAATTATATAAATAGATGCTGGTGAGGCAGCTCAGTGGGTCAAATTGTTTGCTATGCAAGCCAGACCACCAGATATCCAGCCCTGAAACCCACAGGATGAGGAGGGAAGCCTCCCAACAACTGTTCTCTGACTCTCACAGGGACATAGGGGACATCCTCTCATTCTCTCTCTGTCTCTCTCTCTGTCTCTCTGTCTCTCTCTCTCACACACACACACACACACTCACTCACAGAAACAAACAATAATAAGGAAAATAAAAAATTAACAGGGAGGACTGCAGAGATGGAAAGGCTAAGTTCAGAACCAAATAAAGAAGAAAATAAAAATTGTTTAAAAAATATATAAATAAAAATGCAATATTTAAAAACCAGTTTTGAACACAACAGAAAGAAAAAGTGCAGGCCATTTATTTTGCTTAATATATTTATATATAAAAGAGGTGTTGCATCATTTATTAGTTAATATTCTGCACTTTCTGTGAACCAGGACCAAAGCTGGGAAAGTCAGCTTGGAAAGGGGACCCAAAACCTGGGCCTACTGACACAAGTTCAGTGATGTGTGCTAACTCAATTCAAGGAGAGAAGGAAAAAAAAAAAAAAAAAAGATTCATTGCCTTAATTTACTATAGGAAATAATATATTCTAATTGTGTCATGGGCTACTCTAAACCTGATGCTAGGAATGATATCTCATCCTTGTCCAGGCATTCAAATGACTAAAATAAATAACGATCAATTACTATTTCCAGGAAAAAAGTACAGAGTCTTTCAAAGTGGACTCAATGGATGCTTATAAGGTTTTAACAATCATTGATTTTGAACAAGAAGGCAAAAAGTTCACGAAAATTGTACCCCCAATGCATTTCATAATTAACATTAAGCTCTGAAACACCCGTTATCAATTATAGTCTAGTAACATCAATTTAGGATGGGACTGGAGGGATGTCTCAGGGGTTAGGAGCACTGGATGCTCTTACAGAGAATCCAGTTTTGTTCTCAACAACCTCATGGCAGCTCACAACCACCTGTAATTCCTGTTCCAAAGGATCTCATGTCATCTTTGACTTCCGAGGTCACCAGACTAGCAGAAAGTACATATACATACATGTAGGCAAAACACGCAAACAAAAATGAAAATAAATAATCTCTTTTTTAAATCAAATTATACCACTTTATAGAGTGTGTTTTACCACATATTTATTGCACAGTTCTCAGCATATTTCTTACCAAAGATTTAAATTTAGAAAAAGCTGATGCAAACAACAAACTCTTATATTCAATCTTTTAGAAAATCAAGATAAAATTGTACAATTTTAACTTTAACCCTGAAAATACAAACTGTAATTCTCAAAGTTGCAAGGCACAACTCAAATGGGAAGGATCTAAGTAGAAACTAAAACAGTCCAAACCAAAAATGAAATAGCAACAAGGAAGTTCTTGGTAACAGTATGCTATTAACGTACCTTTCGGTAAAAAATGAAAAACCTACATTTGGCAAGGGATTTCACTGCCTAAGATCAGGCTATAATAACAGTGCAACAAACACCAACTTCAAATAAACACAATGTATTATAGGTGAACAGAAATACTCAAGTAATACTTCATCTTTAAGATGTAACAAAAATTACACACACACACACACACACACACTTTAACTCATAGGCCTCCCTTTCCCATTCTAACTATTATCAATTATTGGATAGCTATCAGTTAATGTTTTATTACAGTAGTTAGTTACTATGTTCCAAGTACTTCATTGTGGAAGACTCCAAAGAAAAATGGGATCCTTACCATATTCATACAATGAACATTTTCCTGAACACCTACCATGTACTCATTTTCAGTCATAACAATAAATAAGGTAAATCCTCCTCCTTGGTAGTGCACAATACAGGAGAGTATGCAAAGCCATTACCAAAACTGTTATGGAGTCTGAGATGATTTCTAAAGGAAGTCTGGGCACAACTTAAAAGAAAACCTGTCCTTCTCAAGGCCTAACTCCAATGAAGTCACTGCAGTTTTCTCACAAAAGACATTCAGAAACTATTTTACCCAGCCCATGCACACGGTCTTTTTACCATAAATGAAGCATACTATTCTGAAGGTCTTCTATCTTTTGTTTTGTTTTAAGACAAAGTCTTGCCACACAGCCCAGGCTAGCCATGATCTTCCTGCTTCAGCTTCCCAAGTGTTAACATGTCACCACCACACTAGCAACTTTTCTCTTAAATATCTTTTAGAAAGATTTCTACAGCAATGTATATGGATTTACTCAGTTCTCAGTAGTACCAAAATCTATATAACTTGACCCACTCTCCCACGGACAGACTACATTATTTTCACTTTTTGCTATTTCAAACAGTGAAAATGTTTGTGATCTTCTGTTAGGAAGCTGCGATGATATTCCTAGCTAATCCTTACACATTCCTGTTTCTGTGGAATAAATTCTTAGATAACAGTTGGGACAACGTATCTGTGCAATCTTTGACATCGCAAAATTCCTCCTAAAAGATGGCACCAACTTTCATTGCCACCACTACTTCCAAGTGGATACAAATCTATGTTATGAGTGTAAACGATGAAAATACTGTTAAGGAAACAAATCGAGGAACGGTGAGACTAAAACCGTCTGGAACATGGCATACACAGAATAGCAACAGTACACTATTAACATATACCATGCAGCCGACCTGTGAGGATCCCTGAGTGCCCATTTTATCGGTCTAAACTTAGTAAGAAGCCATTTAAGGATTCTAAGCAGGGGAAATGGCATGACTGGGGCTTTCTTGAAGCAGTACTGTAACAATAGAACAGACAATGTTGAAATATAAGAGACTGGAGGTGGACTAGCTTTAGAACAGTTGACTCCAGGGTGTAAACACAAAAGGGAGATAACTGTACTCTAGAATCCTCTACATTGAACAGAGAGAAGGCAATAGAAGAGTTGGACGCAACTTCAAAGTTTCAGGTGAGAGTAACCTCACACCATTAACAGAAGACCGGACATTTGAGGCTAGGGATCTAGCACGTCCTTAGCATGAAGCCCCGAGACCCACCTCTCGCCCACTCTTTGACATCTGCTTTTATTTATTCGCATGCTACTCGTGAATTCTATGCAAAAACGTTAAAGTGGCTCCGGCTGCAAGTAGGTACTACATGGTATTTACAGACACAACTGAACAAGAGGGCACACCATCAAAAAAAAAAAAAAAAAAAAAAAAAGCTAGGGTCCCTCACATGAATCAAAGCGCATAGGAAATGCCTTGGGTGGTGATATTCTAAACCTCACAAAGACGAGGTGTACATGAACACTGCCCATCTGGCTGTATACCAAATTAACCGTTTCGTTCAAAGGATGCCTCTGGGCATCAATGTTTAAATCACTCCTGGAATTGTGCGGACGGCTGCTGGAGTAAGTAACGACGAGTAAAACAATGCCAAGTAAGTCAGACTATTTCTGAGTAGCCAATATTGGATAGTTCTCTGAAAATCGTCTTTGTGACAACTCATCCCCAACCACTGACCTATGACAGTCAAAAGACAACACCGACCCCACACAACAGTGCGTTTCCCCGCGGGACCAAGGCTGCGGCGCGGGGGTGTCCCAAGCAAGAGGGCAGCCTGCGCTAGAGTCCCACCCTCTCGGTCCCAGCCCAGGTGGGCAGTCGCGTCCCCCAAAAGCCGTACCCGGCGTGGGCTCGCCGGCCTCCAGACTGTCAGAGGTCCCGGTGAGGACCCCGTCCGGGGACGGTGGCACAGGAACACTCATGTCCCCGCTGTGACCGCCTTGTATAGGGAGTTGAGTGTAAGAAGTCAGGCGACAGAAACAGGAACCTAACCGGTTCCAGCACCGGCCGGTCAAAAGCCGCAGGTGCACACGGAAGTGACGAAAGCGGAAGGCGTCGCTCGTTACAGTCAGTCGGAAAAGCCCCTCCCGCCCATCAGCTCGGTGGGCGCAGACGTGCGCGTGCGTGTTCCGTTTCACGGAGGGTGGCTGTGGTAACCGGGAGGACGGTCCCAGGACCCGATGTCTACCTAACCCGGTGGATCATTTAAACAAAAGCCTTAAGAACGTGAACCGCTAAATTTTTCAGTCCTGTGAGCGTAAGCGTTGCTTAGAATCTCTTCCAGTTGCTTGCGTATGACTGGCTTTGCTGGAGCATCATTTGAACAAATTAAGCCAAATTACCAAAGGCACCTGCTGAGACCCTGCGGGATGACATCATGAGTTCTGGCGGAAAGCACGTAGTTGCGTACAGACAGCTCCACAGCAAATGTAACGACCCTCTGCCCTGTGGTAGACCCACCTCTAGTAGTCTCTAATGTTGCTCCACAAATGACCCGTTCAACTTTCCTTGCTGTAGTCAAAGCTGCTGCTGCTGTTATTACTACTACTATTACTAATAATAATATAATAATAATAATATAATCACGCCTCGGGAATGCACTAGCTCCTGACTGCTGTCATCAATATGTTCAAGCTGTTTCTTTTTAGCCACTTTTCAATTCAAGCATCTCCTTACTCTCTTATGGTGGGATGTCCACAGCTAATCCAAGACCTCTAAATACATTGGGACGCCCCAACCTTTAGAAAAGAAGCCCAAGATCAAGGCACAAAAATCCCTCCAGTCCCAGGCCAATCCCTGGAAACCTCCACCACAACTTACAAGATATTCTAGGTAAAGCTTGTCTTCTGTTCAGTTCCTTGCTGCCTCTCACCAGAGCAGAGGTGCTACCCTCTTATGTCTCTCCCTATAATTTTCTTGTGTGAGGTTTGTTGTGTATTGTGACTGTTAGCATTCAGACATTCCTGCCCCTCAACATAGAGACCTGGCAAAGTGGCTCACGTCTGCATGCATGCCAGTGCATGTAACCACTGAGCTATTTCTCCAGCCCCAAGATCCCTCAACTGTGTCCATTGCAATAGATGTGCAAGTATGGTGAATTGTCTTAATTTGTAGCTCTTTGATAGGAACATCTTCATGTTTTTATTTGCCATCAATCTGTGCTCTTTGATGAAGGATCATTTTAAAACTTTTTCCCACTTTTAATCAGGTTGTGTCCTGTGTGTGTGTGTGTGTGTGTGTGTGTGTGTGTGTGTAGTTTATTTGTTGAGAAGGGGTGTCTCTATGTAGCTCTTGCTGTCCTGGAACTCACTCTGTAGACCAGGATGGCCTCAAACTCAGAGATCCACCTGTGTTTGCCTCCAGAGTGCTGGGATTAAAGGCATGTGCCACCACTGCCCTACCAGGTTATGTTCTTGTTGTTGATGTTTTTTTTTAAGTGCTTTCTATGTTTTGCACAATAATCCTTTATCTGACATGTGTTTTCAATTACCTTTACTAATTCCCTCCCCACTCCCTTTATGTAACTTTGAGAGGAAAGTTTTAAGGGATCCTAGGCTTGTACCTTCCTGAAAACAGGGAAGATTCTCAAATCTGCGACAAAAGTTTGGGCATTGTATTTAGGGAAAATGTTTTGAAGTATGCAGCTGTGGAAACAACAAGGGACTTAATGTCAAAGACCTACTTCAAACCTGGTTTAAATAATCTTAGTTATATTAAAATTGGAGGAGGGGATGTAAATTAGGCAAATCCAAACTTACCTGCAACAAAACTTGGAATTTATTTATCTATTGTACTTGATGTGGCTTCAAGGCTTCGAGTATATGCACTTCCTTGCATAAAATCAAGAATCACTGTGTAAATGTGTCAGACTTTCTCCATCCATTCTTCAATTGAAGGGCATCTAGGTTGCTTCTAGGTTCTTGCTGTTACAAATAATGCTGCTATAAACATAGTTGAACAGGTGTCTTTGTTGCATGGATATATTTGGGTATATACCTAAGAATGGAATTGCTAGGTCCTGAGGTAGACTGATTCCCATTTTCCTGAGGAACCACCATACTGATTTCCAACGTGGCTGTACAAGTTTGCACTCCCACCATCAGTGGAGGAGTGTTCCCCTTTCTCCACATCCTCTCCAACATAAGTCATCATTGGTGTTTCTAATTTTAGCCATTCCAGCAGGAGTAAGATGGTATCTCAGAGTTGTTTTGATATGCGTTTCCCTGATAGCTAAGGATGTTGAGCACTCTCTTAAGTGTCTTTTAGCTTTTTTGATCTCCTCTATTGAGAATTCTCTCTTCAGTTCTGTACCCCATTTTTTAAATAGGGTTATTTGGTGTTTTGTTGACTAGTTTCTTGAGTTCTTTGTATTTTTTGGAGATCAGCCCTCTATCAGATGTGGGGTTGGTGAAGATCTTTTCCCAATCTGTGGTCTGCTGTTTGGTCTTGTCAACTGTGTCCTTTGCCTTACAGAAGCTTCTCAGTTTGAGGAGGTCCCATTTATTAATTGTTGATTTCGGTGTCTGTGCTGCTGGTGTTATGTTCAGGAAGTGGTCTCCTGAACCAATTTGTTCAAGGGTACCTCCCACTTTCTCTTCTAAGATGTTCAGTATGGCTGGATTTATGTTGAAGTCTTTGAGTTTTCTGCATGGCGATAGACATGGGTCTATCTGCAATCTTCTACACGCCATCATCCAGTTGTGCCAGCACCATTTGTTGAAGGCAGTTGTAAGCCCCTAGATGTGAATGCTGGGAACTGCATTCAAGTCCTCTAGAGAATGCAAATAGATCTGTATCTATCACCCTACACAAAACTCAAAATTAAATGGATCAAAGACAAAATCAGATACACGGAACCTAGGGAATAGCCTTGAGTATATTATCACAGGGGACAACTTCCTGAACAGAACATCAGTCACACAGGCACTAAGATCAGCAATTTGTAAATGGGACCTCATGAAACTGAAAAGCTTCTGTAAGGCAACAGACACTGTCAAAGAACAAAGGGTAACCTACAGAATGGGAAAACATCTTCACCAAACCCACATCTGACAGTGCTGATTGCCAAAATATATAAAGAACTAAAAAGAAAGAAAGAAAAATAAAAACCTAGACAACAGCAAACCAAATAATCCAAGTTTTAAAATGTGGAAAGGATCTAAACAGAATTATCATCAGAGAAATCTCAAATGGCCAACAATCACGTAAAGAAATGCTCATCATCCTTAGTCATCATGGAAATACAAATCAAAATGATTTAGATCCTACCCTACACCTCAGAATCATTAAGATAAAAACACAAGTAACAGCACATGCTGGAGAGGATGTGGAGCAAGGGGACCACTCCGATGCTGGGGGGGGGGGAGTGCAAACTTGCTCAGCCACTTTGGAAATCAATATGGCAGTTTCTCAGAAAATTAGGAATCCATCTACCTCAAGACCCAGCTTTTCCACTCCTAGGCATATACCCAAAGGATACTCTACCATATCACAAAGACACTTCCTCAAATGTGTTCATATCAGCTTTATTCATAATAGCCAAAAACTGGAAATGACCTAGATGTCCATCAACCAAAGAACGGGCAAATAGAACTATAAAAGATCACCCTGGATGAAGTAACCCAGACCCAGAAAGACAAACATAGTATGTACTCACTTGTAAGTAGATATTAGCCATAGAGGAAAGGATAACAATGCTACAATCCACAGACCCAAAGAAGATAAGTAGCATGGAAGGCTCAAGGGAAGGCACCAATCTCACTGTGAATGGAAATAGAGTAGACATCACAGGTGGATGGAGGAGGGGTCTGGAGGGGATAGGCATGGTAACAGGAGGGGTCAGGTGGAGGAGAGATGGAGGAAGAGAGCACTGGAATCTAGACAACTGGGATCATGGGGGCTGGGTATATCTCCGGAACTAGCTAGAGCCTAATGCAATGGGAACTCCCCAGAATCTATGAAGGTGGCCCTAGTTAAGACTCTTAGCAATAGGACGGATCCAGAGCCTGAAATAGCCATCTTCTGTAACCAGGCAAGACTTCCAGCCACATAACCTTTGACCTAAAATTTTCCCTGCCTACAAGATCTGCTGTAATAAAGATGGCACAGAAATTGTGGCAGTGGCCAACCAATGGCTGGTCCAGCTTTAGACCCATAACATGAGAGGGAGCTCACCTCTGAGACTGCCTGGAGGGACAGGACCCAGAGGCTAGACAACTCAAAGACTGTCCAGCCTGGCAATCTGGTCAAGACCTGACTATCAATAAATAAAGTCAATGGACTGATTTCTAATAATGTTCTGCTATTCTCTTGGATTGTTGCCTTGCCCAGTTGTCATTAGATTTCACTGAGCAACTGATGGAAACAGATGCAGAGACCCATGGCCAAACATTAGACGGAGCTTGGTGAATCCTGTGGAAGAGAGGAAGGAAGGATTGTGGAAGCCAGAGGGGTCAAGGAAACTACAAGAAACCCCAAAGAATCAACCAACCAGTGTGCATAGGGGTTCACAGAGACCGACAACCATGGCGCCTGCATGGGACGGACCTACGCCTCCTGCATATATGTTACAGTTGTGTAGCTTGGTCTTGTGGGACTCCTAACAGTGGACACAGGGGCTGTTTCCAACTCTGCTACCTGCTTTTGGGACCTTTCCCTCTTACTGTGTTGCCTTGCCCAGTCTTAATAAGCAAGGAGGTCCCTCGTCTCACTGTAATTTGGTATACCATGGCTGGCTTATATACATAGCAGGGCTGCACTTTTCTGAAGAGAAAGAAGGAGGAGTGGATGCAGGGTGCAGTGGAGGTTGGGCACAGGGACTTGGAGGAGAGGAGAGGGGAAACTGTGATCAGGCTGGAGAAAATAATTTTTGAAAATTAGTAAATAAGTCTTAATAATGTTAACACCAGACCCATTATTTGCAATAATTCTTATGAGAAG